ATACAAGAAATATAGCCTGGGCTTTACTAATTGAAAGACTATCACATAATCTTGAAGTAACTTCTTTTTTAATATTCAAAAAACTTCATGATATATACAAAAGGAAAAGGAAAAGTAGAGGTCAAAAAGGGGACCTAGATAGAAACGGAAAAATTCGAAATAATGCCTAATAAAAAAACATTGGTCCAAGGTTACTTCGACAAAATTTCCCTTGCCCTTGAAGTACAATCCAACAAATTCCGCTTCTTGGAAAAATTATAGAAAATTTGTGTTTTCTGATAACCTTTATATGGGGGGGGGGGGTCTCTTTTATTTTATTTTAAATACAACCCCTGTAGCTTTTTTATTCTCAAAGATAAAGCTGTAGTTCTTGCAGCAAATTTGTATCATTTTAAAAGATAGATAGTCTATGTGATGGCAACCTCACATTTTTATTATTTCCGATAGAACCGGAAATGACGTCAGCTTTATTTTTTTATGGAACACTAGGTATATTTTTTCATAAATGGAAAGATTGATTTTTTTCTGAAACTCAAAAGCAACCAATATTCTAAAATCAATGCTTAAAAAGTTATTCAATAAAATGTTTTGAATATTAGCATTATTATTTTTATTTAAATTGGTCGAAGGCTGTAAGTATAATCCAACAAATCCAGCTCTTTAAAAAATTAAAAGTAAAGTAAAAACCAGAGGGATAAATGCCACCCTTTGTCGTTCAGCACTAGGTAATACCAATCTGAGCTCAAGTGTTTATTCACGTTTATACATCGAAAGAATGTCACGCAGAAATTAATTTCACTTGAATGACTTTGTCTTCTCAAAACTGGACTAAAATTATTAATTAAACCACAATCGAACAAAATGTTCTGAATATTATATATACAAAGACGAGTGTATGCTTCACATTCTCGAGAAAACGGGGTGCCTCGTTCTTAATTTAACCAATAAAAAATTTGTGATCATCAACGTGGATAATTCTAGTCAGGGCACAAAAGAAAAGCGTTATACCAATGCAAGAAAAAAACTATTCTCAATAGATTAGTTCTGTGATGGAACATTTTAATAAAATCGCTTTCACTCTGAAAGCTACGGCTCGTTCTTAATTTGATCAATAATAAATTGACTGATTCATTAATTTTTTTGACTCACCCTGTATAAGCAAATCTAAAAAATATTAATGCAATGATAAGTCACAACTAAGAACTCATCACATTTTGCACATTTTCGAAAGGATTTATTCGTCAAAATTTTGAGATGACGTAATAAATTTTTTGGGGTTGATAAACAGATATATTTTGATTAAAAAATTACCATGCTTACAATAACTTCAAAACGTCTACAAGATTTAAAAGTATTCAGTTTTGCAATTCTTGATTTAATCTTAACCAATAAAATAAATTGACTCATTTAAGATTTAAGAATTTATTCAGGAAAATTTTGAGGAGTACGTCATCAATTTTTTAGGGGGGATTAGTAAATACATTTTGATCAAACATTTACCATGCTTATGATAACTTCAAAACATCTCCAAGATTTCAAAGCATTCGGTTTTGCAGATTCAAAATTAAATTGCAAAATGTTGTTTTACAATTTTGATTTTTTTTTTCCAAAAATCTGGACGTTTCGGGTAAAAACTCAATACGGAGTCATAAACTACATGTGTAGGACTATGTTATCTCAAACTATTTAAAACCCATTTACTCTGTGCAATTTTGAAGTAACGCCATCACATTATTGGTGGGATGATTAGACAAATTTTGGTTAGCGTTTTACCTTCTACAGGATATTTCTGATATAAATACAAAATTTCGGAGATTATCTGTCCAATAAAAATCCGGAACGGCAGACAGACAGACGGAAACGGGAAACTGATTTCTTCGTACTCTAGCGGTCATGAAAGGTCGAGAAAACGTAAAAGTAGAGGGTCGGCCGTCGGACTCGATTACAATATTTCTTTCGCTTACGCTCGGGAAGTAAAAAGGAAAGGGACAAGACCCACAATCGCAGTACCGGAAGTCACCGCTCTCTGCGATGCAGCAACTGCGCCACGGAGACGTACAAACCGCGTTCGGAACAAAACGTTATTATACCTTGCAAATGTTTTTGCGAAAATTTAAACATTTAGCGAAAAAACTGAAAGTGAATTCGTACACTACGAGTATATAAGTATATTTTTGTGTAACATTAAAATCATTTTAAAATACCATTCATTGAAATGCATCAATTTGTTGGTGGGGATGATTAGCCAAATTTTGATTTTAATTAATAATAATTCGCTTACGCTCGGGAAGTAAAATCAATTAGAAATACAATAAGAAATAAGACAAGTAGCAGCACAGGAAAGAGTACGGGAAGAGAAGTCAAAAATAAGTACTCGAAAATTGTCATAGACGGAAAAGCATGGATATGGGAACCAAAATAAGCTACACTAAAAGGACCAAAAAACCAAGAAGGAATAGTATGGCAAATAGAAATAGGATAAACTAGACGAATAAAATGAAAACGGAAATTAATAAAACACGTAACAAGAAAAATAATAATAATATAATGCAAACGGCGAACAAATAAAATTATTTGAAATGAAGATATTTGACGAAGTACAGTGGAAAATGGAAAAAAATGGAAAAGTTGCAAGAGATGTGGAAATAGGAAGTGACCACTCTTTGGTAAAAATGAACATGATGATGTCAAGAAAGAAAGAAAAAATTTAAAAAAATTTGAAAAGTGTCAACGATAGAAAACATATTTAACGAGGAAATGAACTCTTACTGTTAAAACGTTTAAAAGTGGATATATATACATATATAATATACCAGACAGACAGACGGAAACGAGACACTACGTTTTTCGTACTCTAGAGGTCATGAAACGTCTAGAAAATATAAAAGTGGCTGATGATCCGATGAACTCGATTACTAACTAGTTTACTCCTTAGTTTACGCTCGGGAAGTAAAAATGATGAAAAAAAGATAAATAGTTATAAAGTTAAAGAAATAAAATATCGTGCGAAATAGTGAGATATGAAATTAAGAACTAAAGGAACAAGAAAAACTTAGCATAGAAGAAAAATGGAACGAATAAAAAAATGATGAGTGCCACAATGGCCTTATGAACGAGTAATTTATACTATTTTTTCTACCGCCCAAGTTTTTTCGCAAAATTTAATTGAAATTTGCCTTTTTTTAAATCTGGGGAATTTTGTCGTGGTTGGTGATGGGTTGGTCTGACACTAACCACGAAATATTTGAGGTTCGAATTTTCACAACAACTGTAATTCGAATCAATTCGAGTTTTTGTAAGTTAAAATTGGTTAAAATGTCTTGTGAAGAAGTTAGTGAAGTCCTTACGCCTTTAGAAATACGGGAAATTTTAATTTGACATTTGCCACTGACATTCACCTGACATTCCTCGTCATGGTTACCAATCTTACCGATCTAAATTACACCAGATCTATTAAAGAACGCCTTTCCGCTATTAACGAACTGCTGTGAGGTCATTTGCGTGCTTTAATAGCTCTATTAGAAAACCAAAAAACGTGCGCGGTAGAAAAACTATTTTTTAGAACACTTCAGCAGCTAAAACACAAGAAGGCATATATGTAGGAGTAACATAAATGACAAGGATGGAAATATAATCAGTAATCATAAATAATAGACGGATGGCAACATTTCTAAGAACTGACGGATGGTGCTCAAACCGACGAGGAAGAACATTAGGAGCAAAAAATAGAAACAATACAATAAGAAGCATTATCAGAGGCCACGCGAAAGATAAAATTAGGAATAGCACTCCGGAGGACGACCGAAATGATAAATACCAAAAGATTGGAAGTCAGGGATAACATTATCGATATATAAAGATGTGGAAGAGAGAAGAAAAATCTTGTCAAAAATAATGGACAGAAGAATAAGAGGAAATGACGAATATTCTTAATCCTGCAGTGAAATACCAAATTTTTTTTTGGTTAACCAAAGAGAAAAGTTGGAATTTGAAGGAAGGCGAACTACTTCGTACAAAATTTAAAATTCATGGATCTTAGACATTCCTTGGTTCATCGCCAAAAAAATTATGCGAACAAAAACAAGTCATAAAAATTAGAAACGAAGGCACAAGGTCTATCATCATACATGCAGAGTATTGGTTTGGGTTTTTGGAAAGTCGAGATCTTTTACCGGATGCAGAGCATAATGACAGAGGCTACCACAAACGATTTCAATAGTCGATTTCTTTCGGTTGCCAATATTTCTCCATTCATTATTTCGTTGGGACATTCTGAATTGGTTTAGATGTTGATGATCCAGAGTCAGAAATTTAATATGATGGGGAATAAAAAATTTAAATTTTGTTAGTTGAGATGTGTCCTAAAATGAGAGCCGCACTATGAATTAAATATAATATACTTGAGTATAATTTCAGTTAAGGTTTTATGTGTAATATCAAAAACCTGAAGCAACCTTAAAGTTGAATGAAACAAGGAAATCCAACGACAGAGGTGACAGACGATTGTCATTTGTCAAACAGTACTTATAGTACTCCCACAGTTAACACAGCGTGCCTTAGGACAGAAATTGACATTGTAGAGGTTTAAAGAGGAGGAAATGCTACAAGAACGGCAGTTCACTGGTCAATCGTGACCATTCCCAGTCGCCATTCAATTCTTCCCCTACGTAAACCCAAGTACCCAGAATTGACAACCATTGTTCTTACTACGCGACAAGTCATTTACAGGTACATTTCCTTTGTTATTTGTACAGCCATAATTATATGCAGCGTTTAATGCTTCACAGCACATAAAAACCCTAAACACAACCAATCCACCAGTTACGATTTGTTTCACTTAGCCGCTCATAAATTACCTACTAAACGTGTAAATTGTCGTGATAATTGTGCGTGCCGCTCGTTTATTGTCTAATAACCCATAAAACCGCAAAACAAAATTTACAACAACTCTTTGAACCGAACAATCCCGACTTCTACTTTCGCCAAATATTGTAACTCACCCGTCATTTCCTTCTCTTCGTACTTCGTCAGTTCTTGCAGCGCCTTCAAGTCCGAGTAGATTTCCGTGGACGTCTTCTCCAGCGAGTTCTCCCCTTGCGACAAATTGTGCTTTTCCTGCGACAGTTTGTACATGAGAGTCGGACACTTCTGCGTCGGTTTTTCGTTCAGATACTGTTCCATCCTCGTCAGATGGAAGGCGTAGTCGTAGATTTCCTGGTTGTTTAAATACTTAGCGTGCAACGTATAATACATGGCTAGGATACAATGGCCGTGGAATATATTACACAGATACTTCTGCGTGCAGTGTTTTATGTCTAACAACCACTCTGCGAAGGAATGATGAAACAACCTGATAGCTCCCGTCTTCCCTACTACTATGATCCTCCTTAGCAAGTTAAAGCGTTTTTTGAAGTCGTCGTGCGACATCTTCGGGTTGTAAACTTTGATGATGTCGTACAACAAAGGCTCGTTGATGGCGCATTTCGCCGCGAGGATCACGTTGAGTAGCTGCTGGACCTTCGCGAACTGCCGTCTATTGAAAAGTCTTTGACACAACCACAAATACAACCCGTTTAGAGTCCCGGGGATCTCCCGCACTTCCCTCAACACTATAAAATTATCGGACACCCCATCCAGCACCTTCTCCAAGTAAAGAAAACACCCGTTACTCTTAATATGCAACTGATTGAGCATTTCCGCGGTATCACGACTTATGTGTTGTCTAAGACTGTTCTCCTGGTCCAAACGCGCCAAAATGTACTGCTGCACGTCCCTCACAACCTGAGATTTGCGCAAATCGTCCAAACTTAGCTTGCGAAACCCGGTGAACATTTTAGCTATGCTCTTCGACTGCTTCCGCGCGGTGCAGACAAGGAGGAGCCATTGCGGGAAGAGATGGTGGTGATTGGCCAACAGCTCGGCGATCGTTTTTGATTGGGAGCTGCGCTCACGTGGCTTCGAACGCGTCAGCGTCGAATTGGAGTACACGAAAGAGTGTTCGTCGATGGAATCAATCAAAATGAAGAGCGAAGTTTTGGGCGGGTCTATCTCGAGAAGCGGGAACAGCAACGCCCTCTTTAGGCAGTCGTCGGGATTCAGTTCGATGTTCTTCGCCCTAAGGGCGATCTGGATCTCCGGGTCCGACTTTAGCTTCTCTAGGTAGGCATCAGCGATTAGGGTCCGGGGATTCACAGGCAGGTTAGGTATAGGAGGTACGTCGCTCTTTTTGCTCTCCAAAGTCGGGGAGAGCAAGCTGTCGGCGTACACGTTACTGTATAGGCTTTCCTGAGGTAGACTGCAGTTCTCTGAGAGGTTCTGCTCATAGGAGATGTTCTTCTCTTCTTCGACCTTAGCTTCCTGCGCCATCTTGCGGCGCATGCTCCTCTCCTTGTGGCTCTCCGTGGAATGGTTCAGAATCTGCGTCACCAAGCTCCTCACGAACTCGCTCAAAGACAGACTTTTCTCGTTGTGGCCCTGCAGGAAGTGGTAGCACAGAAGTCGGCGGTTCAGCGCCCTCTGTTGGCGGCCACTGGGGCCCTGCGAGGGCCAGCATAGCTCCGAGCAGAAGGTGGTCTTGCCGCAGCCGGAGCCCCCTAGCAGCAAGGCGCCGCAGGTCTTCGACACCGGCCGCTGGTCCAAGCAGTGCGATAATTTCTGGAAGGCCCATTCGCGGCAGTAGAATTTCTTTTTATCGTCGTGTTGGGACATTTTCGCTCTTTATGACGATGTGTTAACTACATCTCGAATCACCTCGTAACTATTATGATGAGTTGCGAAAGTGGCGTGTTTGGAAATCGTTGGATTATTGCCATAATATGTGGAGGTTTGCCATTGTGGTGGGGCTAGCTGGCAACATCTGGAAAATGAGAGTGTTTAGATGATGCGAGGCAGGTTTGATGATGGTTATTGCGGGCGAGAGCATCTGGAGGTTTGATAAGATCGCGGAGCGTGAGATAAATAAATTGGATTTAAGAATATTTGGTCATTCGGCGGGAGGTGGCTCAGCGGAATGGAATCTGGAGTAAAAATTAAGTAAATATAGTTAATTTTTTTACTACTGCGTGTGTTTCGGTGATAAATGAAATATTTTTGCATTCCGAACGCAATGAGGGAAGAGCGACGACCTCACAACAGGACCGTACTTGCTACAAAGACACTTTTTTAATTAATTCGTTTTAACTTCCCCAACAATAATGTTATTAGATAAGGTAAAATTTTCAATCAATTCCCACCGAGATTACTTAAGTAGCTTTAAGCGACTTGCCTATTTGCTATGTGTATGTAGATTTTTTTCTCCAATCACATGGTAATTGTTCAATGGGTGTGCGCATAGGTCGGGCCTAATTGCAAATAGAAATATCGATATGTCTTTGATTACATAAGATAAAAGATTATATTTTTTATGCTGTCACATACCGTACTCAAATACTTGTTTGCATTGCGCTCTATTTTTAATATCTGTGCACTTTTTTTTATAAAATAATATGTCCTTCAGCATCTACTTGATACAGCTGGCACAAAATTGATGATTATATAATGTCGCATGCCCAGCCGTGGCCGGTCATTATTTAAGTGCTTAAACGTTTTTCACGTTTAATTTATATTATCTTTTACTTACACGGACTTTTTTTACTTTTTAATTTTCCTGGCACAAAATTAATATTCGTTAGTTGAATTAAAATTTATTTGTATCATAATAACGAAAAAGTACTTAACATTAGTACTTTATTTAGAAGTGCTATGTACACGCAATATCAAAAAAAAATCCTACTACGATAAAGATAGAATGGAAATACTTTGAACAGAACACTCCAATAAAAAATCGCAATTGCCGTAAAAAACTCCGGACGGGTCCATTTCTGTAAAAAAACGATGACACTGGTTAAAGCGTAAGTGGCAGATTGTGACGACTCAAGATGTTCTGCTCGCAGTATTTCCACTCTACTACGAGAAGCATATTGAAGTACACGACTGAACGATAAAGGTATTTGGTAAAAAACAGTGCATTTGTATAAATCAATACTGATTTATTTATTTATTACCTACTTCACTAAAGCAAATGAAGCGAAAGATAAAATTAAGTGCCCATATAATTATAATGTTAATAATTTTTTTTTTTTAATTATAAAATCAGATTTTACGATGTTTGATTTGTGATTAAAAATCAAGGCAGATTGATGGACCACCAGTGTAAGAGTATATTGTTTCATGAAATTTACATTAATGTTCCAGTATTTTTATTTTTAGTATTTTTCAGGTTATTGTCTCGTCACAGGCACATTTAAAATAATAATTACAAATTATTCGTACAAAATAAAGTCATTTTTAAAAATAAAGAAATGAAGAAGCACATACCAACACGAAGGTTAAATTTCTAAAGTGAAAATTACTAATGAGTAGTACAATAGGTAAGTTGGATATTTTATTATCTATTATTAGTCAGTGAAAATTGCTACTTACGTAAAGTATAAACATGCATAATTATGACACTCTTTTAAAAGTTCTCACTTGCAATAAAGACTTTGCATGTCTGGCATACGTACGACTTCACATCTAAATTTAAATCAAAATTTATTTGTTTATTAATTAGAACCCTTGAAACCATGTTATGATCAAATTTAATAAAGTTATGGTTCACTCGCAGAATTTTAAATGCCAAACGATTAAGTGCTGTATGACATATTCCAAATGCATCAAAAAAATTAAATCTAGAGAACTATTAATATTCAAATTAATATTAAAGTGGTCGAACATATTTAAAGACGCAAAAATACATACTTTCATTTAAACAAGTGGCAGATGATGTCACACTTACAAGTCAATGACATCACGAACATCCGAAGAGTGCCAAATAAAAGGAAGAACACTATTTGACTTATTACATTTTTTTTTTTTTTAATATTATTAGTTTTATAATATTCAATTTTGTTCATTCACTAACAGTTAACTAAGAATCCAAGACAAAATCTTTTGTCCAACAAAAATTTCGTTTGTCCGCTGTAACATTCGCTTCTGCCCCAGAATGAACGCCGGAAATGACTTTCGTTCTTCTTTGTGTAAAATGCATTGATTCCACAATCGACGATCTAACAATCTAAAACAGGCTTTAGCTTTTCAGCTTTGCATAAAGGCACGATACATAAGTGAAATTTTAGGGCTACAGTCAACAAAAAGAAAAAAGAGAAAATATACAAGGCGGTGTCTTTCATTAGTATGACTTCAGAAGCCGTAAACTTATGTGTGCTAAATTGGAAAAGGGTTGTACTAGTTTGTGCCGATCAATAATAATATTCTGCCAAGAAAACTGGATTCTCTAATTTTTTCTTTATGCTAAATTATTTACTTCGAATCATAGAAAAATATTTCTGGTGGTCATAATTTGAAAATCCAGAACGAAGTTGAGATGACGTACTGAATGAACTAAAAAAAACCTCTGGTATAACATTTGGCCGCAACATTAAATAACTTTCCAGATTCAAATCTTCATTGTTTTCTCACGAAACAGAAGTTTAAAATAATATTTTGAATAGGTAAACTAGAACCAGAATATTGATCTAAAGGTCAACTTCAATGTTCGTATGCTTTGTTTTAGATTACAGCGAAAAGCACAGTTTAACAACTCTGAATAGTATTGAGGTTAACTGTTGTAGCATTGTTGGAGATGTTAACAGTGGAATTTAATTATTTATTTAAATTTATTTCGGTTTTGCTTGATCCGGTTTATTTCACAGTATTTAAGGAAAAAAAAATAAATAGAGAAAGAAAGCAAAAATTTGGTGATGAGGGCATTAATTTTTGGAGAGGGAACAATCGGTTTTGCAGTTTCAAAATTAATTTACAAAATGTTATTCAATTTTGATTTCTGAAAAAATCTGAACTCGTAAACCGAAAGTGCAGAAGTATATAATTGCATAAAATTTAAATAATATTTACTGTTGTAAATTATAAAGAAAACAGTTATTTTTGTAAATTTTGGAAATAACGTCATCCCAACATTGGTGGGGGTGATAGACAAATTGTAGTTAGCGTTTTACCATCTACACGGTATTCCCAACACGGATATAAATATTTGACAACAATCTGTCCTGTAGTTTAGGAGATTTTCTATATAATCAAAATCTACACAGACGACAGACCAGACGGAAATGCGAGACCTACTTTTTCAGACTCTAGTCATGAAATGTGGAGAAAACATGAAAGTAGTCATTAGTCCGGTGACCCTCTCATTACCTCACGCTCGGGAAGTATAAATTAAATTTTTCGTCTAAAATTTACGCAATCTGAAATATATTTTCTGCGACAATTTTGGAACACTAGGTATAAATTTTTGGGACATTCGTACAATCAATTTAAAATAAAAAAAGACAAATAACCCAACCGGGTAGATTTCCGTATTCTACAAGCTGTGAAACACTGAGCAAACATGAAATTTGACATTCGAAATTATTTTACTATGACATCCAAAAATCAAGATTTTTTTAGAAAATCAAAAATCCATTATTTAAAAAAAAATATGTTTTGTTTTTTCTTTACTTTTTAAATTAATCGCCCACTGAAATATCGCAATTTTTTTAAATTTCAAAAAAAATATTTCGAAAATATTCCTCCGTGACCCTAAACACGTTATATTTTTGGAATCAGCACGTCAAGATCTGTAACCCTAATTTTTTCTGAATGTTTAGACGACTTTCTCAAAAATTAAATCTTTCCCTTACGCAAATTTCGACCCATTTTCAACGATTTTCGAAAATTAACGAAACACATTTTATTGTAGATTTCGAGCCGTAGAAGTCACTTCCCGCCTCATTTCTTTGATAACTCCAACGGTTTTTCCAGAATCGCCCATTGAAATATAGCAAGTTCTAAAAATTTTAAAAAATTCCTTTCGTTTTTTCGATTTCTCGCTTTTTTGACTTTTCGAATTTTCAATATTCCAGTTTTTTGATGTTTCGAATTTTCAATTATTCGATTCCCCGATTTTTCATCTTTTCACCGTTAGAATCTGTCAATTTCTCGTTGTTTCAGTTTTCTGCTTTTTCAATTTCCCAATTTAAATTTTTTTTTTTTAGACTTCTCGATTTTTCGATTTTTAATTTTTTTGAATTTTGGATCCTCCAATTTTCCAATTTTTAAATTTTAGATATTTTATTTTTTCAATTTTTCGATTTTACGATTTTTTGATGTTTCGATTTCTCGGTTTTTCAATTTTTCCATAATATAATTTTTCAAATTTTTATATTTTCGATTTCTCGTTATTTCGATTTTTCAGTTCTTGTATATTTCTGTTTTTTCAATTTTTTAAATCTTATATTTTTCGATTTTTTACGATTTGTTGATGTTTCGATTTCTTGACATCTCGGTTTTTCGAATTTTAAAATTTTTCTACTTTTCGATTTTTAGATTTCTCGATTTTTAAAGTTTTCGATTCCTCAATTTATAGAGATTTCGATATTTCGATTTTTTGATTGTTCAATTTCTCGTTCTTTAAATCCTTCAATTTTTCGATTTGTATTTTTTTATTTTAAATTTTTAAATTTTTTTGTTTTTAACTTTTCGATTTTGGTTTATTTCGATTTCTTAGTTTTTCTATTTTTAGACTTTTAGATTTCTTGATTTCTCGATTTTTCGATGTATTATTTTTTAGATTTCTTGGTTTTTCGACTTTTCGATTTTTCAGTTTTTCGTCATTTCAGTTTTTCTATTCTTCAATTTTCCAATTTTACGATTTCTCGAATTTTAAAATTCTGGATTGTCGACTTCCCGATTTCTCGGTTTTTCTTTTTTTTTGACTTTTCAACTTTCAATTTTAGATATTTGAATTTTTCAGTTTTTCGATTTTTTGATGTTTCGTTTTCTTTTTTCAATTTTTCCACATTTTAATTTTTCAAATGTTAGATTTTTCTATTTTTTAGTTCTTGGATATTTATATTTTTCAATTTTTCTTCCATTTTTAAATTTTTTGATATTTCGATTTTGCCCTATTTCGCTTTCCCAGTTTTTCGCCATTTCAACTTTGGAATGTTTCAGTTTCTCGATTTTCCAGTTTCTTTTTCTTTAATTTTCCGATTTTTTAAATTCTGGATTTTCGACTTCTCAGGTTTCCATTTTTTTGACTTTCCCGTTTTTTCGATTTTTCAGTTCTTCTATATTTTTATTTTTCGATTTTTCCAATTTTTAAATTTTCGATTTTTAATTTTTTTTTATCCTTCAATTCTTCAAATTTTATATTTTTCGATTTTTTTACGATTTGTTGATGTTTAGATTTCTTGAAATCTCGGTTTTTCGAATTTTAAAATTTTTCGACTTTTCGATTTTTAGTTTTCGATTTCTAAATTTTTCAAAATTTTAATTTGGGGAACTTTTCAATTTCAGTTTTTTGATGTTTCGATTTTTGGGTTTTTAAAATTTTTGAGGGAGATTTCGATATTTCGATTTTTTGATTGTTCAATTTTTCATTTTTTTAATTTTAAACTTTTCAATTTTCAACTTTTTGATTTTTCTATTTCGGCCTATTTCGATTTCTCAGTTTTTCGCCATTTCAGCATTGGAATATTTGAATTTCTCGATCTTTCAGTTTTTTCTTCAAATTTCCGATTTCTCGATTCTGCAAATTTTCGATAATTTGATTTTTCAATTTTTCAAATTTTAGATTTTTCGATTTCTCGTTTTTTCGACTTTTCGATTTCTCGTTTTTTCAGTTTTTCTATGTATATTTCTATTTTTGAATTTTTCCAATTTTTAAATTTTCGATTTTACAGTTTTTTGATTGTTCGATTTTTTAAATTTTACATTTTTTGATTTTTTGCGGTCTTTTGATATTTCGATTTCTTGAAATCTCGGATTTTCCATTTTAAAAATTTTTCGACTTTTCGATTTTTGGATTTCTCGATTTTTCAAGTTTTCGATTTTTAAATTTTTCAACATTCCAATTTGGTGAACTTTTCAATTTAAATTTTTTGATTTTTCGACTTTTCCAATTTCAATTTTTGGGTTTCTAAAATTTTTGAGGTCGATTTCCCAGTTTTTCGATTTCTCGATATATCGAGATTGCGATTTTTCGATTTTTTTATTGTTCAATTTATCGGTTTTTCAATTTCTCAATTTTTCGATTTATGGATTTTTTTTATTTAAAATTTTCCAATTTTTTTTATTTTTAAGTTTTTGAAAAAGAAAAGAAAAATAAAAGTTATGAATTAATTGTATATATATTTAGTTATTATTGTAATTGTCATTTTCCACGTATTTTAACACATTCACAAACATGTGACTCAGTGTCATGTTGGAATCGTGTTTTAGCAATAAAGAGAATTTATTTTCATTTTTATTATATAGATTAGTACCACAGTACCGAGAAGTAATAAAAAATGATCAGACTTTCATGGATTTTTGAAGATTTGTCTTTAATCGAATTTTCGTCTTGTCGGATTATTATCGTCAATTTGAAAGTTTCGAATTTTAAGTGCAACGATCAAATTTATGTCTTTGGATATTTTTAATGAATATTTTGTTGCAGTTGTTCTCAAAATAAAAAACTGGTTTAGGGTGCCAGACAGAAATTTGATTTTTCGGATTTGATTTATTTATAATATATGAAAAGATGAGGCGAAATCATAAACCACAAGTTCATGACTTTGAAATCTTTTTTAGGTCAAACTTACCAGTGTGTGAAGCACAACACGCCAAAAATAGTTTTTAACCCCAAAATGAGAAAAAAATCTGTTGGATTCAACCATATTAAAAAGAAGAATACAATTTTAGTTAAATAAAAAATCTTTTGTCAAAAATCATCTAACATATTTTTTATATTATAATATAACAGCAATTCTGAGTTGTTGGAAAAACACGAAATAATAAAAAAAAACAGATTTTCCTGAACAAATTTAACGAGAGTTTCGTTTCAGTAAAACTGAATTCGTTAATGAAAAATCGTAAAGATAAATTTAAAACTGACATCGCTACCTGCTAAACCGAAATAAACTGACTAGATATAAATGTCTGTAATAGTCAAGATAAAATAATCAAATCCTGAAACGTCTTAAAAACAAAAAAACATCCGGGCCAAACACAAAATAAGTTCGCTTAAAACATTTTCCTTTGCGTTTCTTTATAATTTAAACATGTCAATAGACATAAAATCGTGAAAACGACGTCTGCACATAGTAAATTTATTTTTTACAATACTTACTTCGTGTTTGTAACATCTGTTTTCTAAAGCAACATTTATAACGCGGTCGCTTGAAGACTTTTATTAATTACATTGCCGCTATAAACGTGATTAAAATAGCAACTGAGCTTAATTTTCGCGTGATAACTTGAAGATTTTGCCGCACCTTCATCCAACGGATGCGGTTCAAAAGCGTTGTCGCAAGAATAGTTTCATCGCCTAATTTAGTAATTTCACAAATTTGCTCAAATTGCGGATCTAGTGAAAGGTTTTACCCTTCAAGATGTCGGAAAAGCATTTTCATACGAGCGGTTTCAAGGATTATTTCTAAAGGAAACTGGTTCTTTATTGTTGTGTGAAAAGTTCAAGTTGAGTTATTTCTGCATTTCTTTCACGTGACACTTATTAGTATATATTATAATAATTATTATGTATAACCAATATAGTTGTAAAATTAATATAGAAATGAGCAGAGAAAAATATTACATCCCGGAAAAGAAAAAAAAAATTACCGATAGGATGTTTCACTTCCAAAACAAAGCTGTCGTTTCCTGTAAAAAAAATCATGCCCTAAATTTAAAACTTTCCATTTTTCATTTAAGCAACTATTACCAAAAAATTCGTTAAATTGTAAAAATGTACAAACAATTAATACCGACACTGGAACATTAGCATTTAAATTATTCCCATGAGAGGCGTCATAGTTAAGTAATTCTGAAACGAAATTTTTATGTAACAAAACCAATTTCATACCTTTTTGAGTCTATAAAAGGATATCAGTAGTTGAAAGTTCTTGAATTAATTCATGCAGTTGTCTTAATGGAAAGGTCCTGATAAAAACATGCACTTAGCACTTAACAAGCGAAAAATACAACTTAATAGCCGACACAAATCAAGATTTATGACAACTTTATCTAGAAAAAGTAAATAGCAACAATTTTTTAATAGATAGCCCGTTCCACCGCAAAAACTAGCACCTGTTCAATTATAGCCACCATAATTTTGTAACTGCAGTTCTAATTTTACAAGTTGCCAAATCTGCGTCGGTGTACATAAAATTCCCCACACTATTTGCAAAAATAATCAGCACTACCACCAAATACCATGTACTAACGCAACAAATCCCAATTACTTAGCGAAATTAACAATTATTTCGCGTCTATCTTGTAACACAATTAAGCAGTCTTGGCAGAGACAAGCCATAAAATTAATACGACTTTATAGCCACGAAAATTGTAGAAAATTAGCAGCTGCCTAAATTCATACATGAATGCAAGTCTCAATTGGATAAATTACCAGCACGACTTGAGAGGACAGATGAAATTGAATTTTTTTAAGGTCAAGAATGAGTCATAGCCCATGTAAAAGGAGATGCTGTTTATTGACGAAATCGAATGACCAAATATTTATAATTAAACGCAAAATATCAATGAAAGGCTATCTAATCACTAAATCAATCAATGGCAGCGCGAAAGGGGGCCCTCGCTCGCGCTGAAAAAGCGCAAATTTCGGGGGCCCGCCGCGAAAGCGGCGCTCCGCTTAAGACAAAACGGAAGGAAGAGCCCTCGACATTAACTACAATAAAATAAAAATAAATAAAGCTAAAAATAACCATTTGTGTGCATTTTGACACCCACACCGATTTTCCGTTTCGTGAAAGGGATAAAGTCGGTACTCACGTGAGAAAATGTGTTCGTTCGCGGGAGTGCTGTTTGATTGTTGTGGAAAACACACTATTTTCATTAAATTTGCGTTTTTTTGTCCAATGTTTTATTAATTTCTTGGTTATGACAATGTCGCGGCTGTCAAACTGGTGAAGATGGCGGCGCCAGGTGGCGCGGTAATCGCGCGGGGGATTCAAACACTGATTGGTCAAACTTTTTATTAACATATATCTGTTTGACATTCACTATCTATTTGAAAAAGCATGAATTATTATAGATAATATCGTGATATCTTTTAAACATATTTAGATATCTGGAAAATAAATTTGTTCTGTAATTTACTTAATTTTCTAGGTGCTCCTTGAATCGCTATCACTAGTTCAAATCGTTTCAAGGAACGTTACAACTAATGCAATTGAAAACAAATATTTTGCATTAGCTCGAAAATTGTTTAATTTACAAACTAGCATCTGCCGCTCAATTCAACAGTAACTTTCAATAATTACGATAGACTTAATTCACGATAAAATTAATTAAGATGATAAAAAGGGAAGCGGTGATGCGAGTCGTGCGATTCCACAATACATAACAAAGTACAAAACTCCAATAAATTACTAATTATACAAAAATAATTAATAGAGAAAATTAATTCGGACGCACATGATTACAATAAAATTAATTACATAATAAAAAAGCGTGACATCGTAACAATCAAGATTGTTTACAGATAACAAATTTTAACATCCAACTCTGACTTTATATATAAAAAAAGGATGAAACAACGTTACAATAAAATAAGTTATAGACCTTTTTACAGTTCTTTAAAACCATTGATGCCTATCTAAAAAATAACATAAAAATTAAAAATATATGTATATAGATAAATGATCAATTTGTATCGACGAAGTGTTTCTCTAAGTTGGATTTTTTATCGTTTATTAGATTCTCAAAGCGGTTAATGTGCTTGACGAAAATCTGTTTTGGGATGGGTTCTAGGGGTGTAGCCACTTTGCTTACGACTCCTGTCAGTTCCGCCCAACTCACCAAGAAGTTGGACCAGTCGTTTTGTTGTTTTTCGGTTGCAGTCTCTGATGATATCAGGTATTCCGTTCGGATCAACATCGTCACTAGAGCAGAAACTCCAAACTGAAAAAAAAATTCGGTCAATATGTCGTTACCGACGGAAAAAATGGATTTTTTTTATGTTCAACGGCGCTTGCTGAATTATTCAAGTGACATGATCTAAATGTATATCAGGGAAAAGTTTATATTGATTCGTGCCATTTAGAGGTGGTTAGTAGAATTTGTTATTTTAAGAAAGAGTTACGTGGCTTTAAAATTGACGAGTTTTTTTGGTTCAATGGCCTATAATTATTTTTACAGTTAATTAAATTATGACAATTAAAACTACGTGCGCTATTTTAGCCACAAATGTCGTCCCTTGAGGATAGTTCCGAGTAAGATTAGTAGATATATTTGAAGGTGTGTCGAATTTCCCTATGCACGAAAAGTGGGAGAAATCCAATAATGTGTTAGACAAAGTAAGAACGACAGCAGTAACTTTTTGTTTTTAGGGTGGCAACAATGAGGCATGTAACAAAATAGGCCAGAGTGCCACCATGAAGAAAAAATATATATGTATCTCTTACTTATTAATTACGCTACAATTAATACACATTTTAGATACATATGTATTGCTCTGAATAAGTAATGGTTTTTTTATTATTATTATTAATATTAACTATAGGCGGGCGCAACAATATTATATTATATTATAAATAAAAAAACAGGAAATGCCGGATGAAGCATCATTTGAAAAGAGAATACACGTGTCACAACTCCACTACTCGGTCAGCTTCGTGTTATGATTGTGTCTAACGAACAAGAAAAATTAAACAATAAAACAATAAAGGCGGCTTAATAAATCACAAGTACAGGAGGATGTTATTTATAAAATTTAAATAACCTCTACATTGCTAGTGGGGATAAGTTGTTCAAAATATGGCTATGCGATTACGTTTTAGCGTGTGCGTAAGTTTTTGCGCATTTTACCATCAAAATATGGAACATTTTTCTATCAAATTTTAGTAGTAACTTTCGCAGTAATTTTCGGAGTAATTCTATGACGTTTAAAAGGGCTCTTAGCTTATGCTTGTTAAGTAAAAATGATGGATAATTTTATTAAAAAAGTTAATTGTGACGTCAATAATAACAACAAATCACAATAAAACTTTAAATTAAAGGTAAACATGTTGTTTGAAAAATAAAAAACAAAATTTTGACATATCCCAAAAGTAAAAAATGAAATATCGAAATACTGCAAAATTTAGAAGACTCTAAAATAAAAAAAATCGACAAAATAAAAATTCCAAAAACCGAAAATTCGAAAATTGGAAAATTGAAAAATCGAAAAAGAAAACAAAAAATGAAAGATCAAATATTCCATAAAACGAAAAATCAAAAATTCGGAAAGTTGGAAAATCGAATCGAAAATTCAAAAATCTAAAATTCGAAAGATCTTAAAGTTCAAAAATCAAAAATTCGAAAAACTGAAAAATCGAGAAATCGAAAATCGAAATATCGAAATTCGGAAAATCTAAAATTCGAAAAATCGAGAATCAAAAAACGAAATATCGACAATGCAAAACATTGAAAAATCAAAAAATAGGAAAATCGAAAATTCGATAAATCGAAGTTGACATATCGAAAAACGGATAAATCAAAAATCGGAAATACGAAAATCGGAATTCGAAAAAATCGAATAATCGAAAATTCGACAAATCGGAGTTGAAATATCGAAAAAGCGATAAATCAAAAATCGGAAATTCGACAAATCGAAGTTGAAATATCCAAAAATAGATAAACCAAAAATCGTAAATTCCAATTTCGAAATTCGAAAAAATAGGAAAACCAAAAATTCCAAATATCGAAAATTCGAAAATCGTTTATATTCTGAAAATCGAAAAACAAAAAATGAAAGATCAAAAATTCCAAAAATCGAAAAATCAAAAATTCGGAAAGTTGGAAAATAGAATTGAAAATTCAAAAAATCGAAATTCAAAAAATCGAAAATGAAAAATCGAATATGCAATCGAAAATTCGAAAATCGAACATTCATAAAATCCAGATTCAAAAATCGAAGTATCGAAAATTCAAAATATTGAAAAATCGGAAATTCGACAAAACGGAGTTGAAATTCGAAAAACCGATAAATCAAAAATCGGAAACACGAAAATCGAAATTCCAAAAAATCGAATAATCGAAAATTCGGAAAATCGAGTATCATAAATCGAAGTATCAAAAATTCAAAACATTGAAAAACCATAAAAATTGGAAAATCGGAAATAGCAAGATCGAAATTCCAAAAAATGGAAAATAAACAGTCGAATAATCGAAAATTCGGAAAATCGAGAATCAAAAATCGAAATATCAGAAATTCAAAACATTGAGAAACCAAAGAATTGGAAAATCGGAAATAGGAAGATAGAAATTCCAAAAAATCGAAAATAAAAAGTCGAATAATCGAAAATTCGAGAATCAAAAATCGAAATATCGAAAATTTAAAACATTGAAAAACCAAAAAATTGGAACATCAGAAACTCGACAAATCGGAGTTGAAATATCCAAAAATAGATAAATCAAAAATCGTAAATTGGAATTTCGAAATTTAAAAAAATCGAAAATAAAAAAAACCAAATATTCCAAAAATCGAAAATTCAAAAATTATTTATATTCGGAAAAAGGAAAAACACAAAAAGAAAGATTAAAAATCCAAAAATCGAAAATCGAAAAATCAAAAATTCGGAAAGTTGGAAAATAGAATTGAAAATTCGAAAAATTGAAATTCAAAAAATCGAAAATGAAAAATCGAATATATAATCGAAAATTCGAAAATCGAACATTCATAAAATCCAAATTCAAAAATCGAAATATCGAAAATTCAAAATATTGAAAAACCAAAACACTGGAAAATCGGAAATTCGACAAATCGGAGTTGAAACATCGGAAGATAGATAAAACAAAAATCGGAAATAGGACACTGGAAATTCCAAAAAATCGAAAAACCAAAAATTCCAAAAATCGAAAATCAAATATTCGGAAAATTGAAAAATCAAAAACAGAAATTCGAAAATTGGAAAATTCAAAAATCGAAAAACAAAAAATAAAAGATCAAAAATTCCAAAACTCGAAAAATTAAAAATTCGAAAATAAAAAATTGGATAATCGAAAAGTCGAAAATCAAACATTCGGAAAATCGAGAATTAAAAATCGAAACATCGAAAATTCAAAGCATTGAAAAGTCAAAAAATTGAAAAATCGCAAATTTGACAAATCGAAACTGAAATTTATCGAAAAATCGATAAATTAAATATCGGACATAGGAAAATAGAAATTTCAAAAAACCGAACATAAAAGATCGAATAATCAAAAATTCTAAAAATAAAAATAATCAAGAAACCAAAAATTCTAAAAGTCGAAATTCGACTATTGGGAAAATAGAAAAATCGAAAATGGGAAAATAGAAAAATCGGAAAACAAAAAATGAAACAAATTCCAAAAATCGAAAATCGAAAGATCAAAAATTCGGAAAGTGAAAAAATATGTAGAATCGAAAATCCGGAAAATTGAGAATCAAAAATCGAAAATTCAAAACATTGAAAAACCAAAAAATTGAAAAGTCGCAAATTCAACAAATCGGAGTTAAAATATCGGAAAACAGATAAATCAAAAATCGAAAATAGGAAATTAGAAATTCCAAAAAACCGAAAAACAAAAATACCAAAAATCGAATATTCGGAAAATCGAAAAATCAAAAACAGAAAATCGAAAATTGGAAAATTGCAACATCGAAAAACGAAAAATAAAAGATCAAAAATTCCAAAAATCGAAAAATCAAAAATTCGGAAAGTTGGAAAATTGAATCGAAAATTCGAAAATCTAAAATTCGAAAAATTGAAATTCAAAAATTCGAAAATAAAAAATCGAATAATCGAAACATCGAAAATTCAAAACATTGAAAAACCAAAAAATTGAAAAATCGCAAATTTGACAAATCGAAACTGAAATTTATCGAAAAATCGATAAATCAAATATCAGACATAGGAAAATAGAAATTTCAAAAAACCGAAAATAAAAGATCGAATAATCGAAAATCGAAAGATTTTAAATTTTATAAATCAAAAATTCGAACAAGTGAAAAATCGAAATATTGAAATTCGGACAATCTAAAATTTGAAAAATCGAGAATCAGAAATCGAAATAACGGAGATTCATAACATTGAAAAACCAAAACACTGGAAAATCGAAAATTCGACAAATCGGAGTTGAAATATCAAAAAATCGATAAATCAAAAATCGGAAATAGGAAGATCAAAATTCCAAAAAATCTAAAATAAAAGTCGAATAATTGCAAATTCGGAAAATCGAGAATCAAAAATCGAAATATCGAAAATCCAAAACATTGGAAAATCGGAAATTCGACAAATCGATAAATCAAATACCGGAAATTGGAATCTAGAAATTCCCAAAAATCGAAAATAAAAAATTGAATAATCGAAAATTCGAAAAAGTAGTAATCGAAAAATCGAAAATCAAAAATTCGAAAAATCAGATATTCGAAAATGCGAAATTCGGAAAAACTAAAATTCGAAGAATCGGGAATCAAAAAATTGGAAAACCAAAACCTTACTTTTAATTTAGAATTACTTATACAGAACGGCTCAAGAAAATTAATGAATGAATCAATTTACAATAAACTCATTTGACATACACCTTGTAAAACTTTTGACTTAAGCGGCTTAAGCCAAAGCACTCTTATAAGTCAAACTGGCTATTGTATAACGTAACTCTGGGGTCAATTCCAAGTTGGTGGCGCAAGTCAGTGGTGCAGCGCAACTTTATAATGCTCATTTGGGTATGAAGTGCTGGTTGCTAGGGGTGACGGAATAAACAAGCGCAATTTTTCGAGATAAATTGCGCCAACTTGCACTGCCTACTAGAAGTGCCGCAACTCCATGGTGCAAATTTCAATGGAAAATTTCAATTTATCTCGAAAAATTGCGCTTGTTTATTCCGTCACCCCTAGCAACCAGCATTTGATACCCAAATTAGCATTATAAAGATCACAGCCCCATTATGGCAACAATGGACAGTAATAATCCTTGCGGTTCGGGTCCATAAAGCTTACAATAGCCAGTTTGACTTATAATGGTGGTTTGGCTTAAGCCGCTTAAATCATAAAAGTTTTACATGGATGTATGTCAAGCTAGTTCAGTGTATTTTATAGATCAGATCAAGAACGGTTTAGACCATTTCCCGAAAATTTGACGATGCAGCACTGTTAATATTAGTTTGCACATAACCAAATTGATACACATGTTCTTGCTAAAATTTTACGTCAAAAAAATCGCGTAATTAAATTTTAAAATTTTTCAAAGGAACTAAATTTGTTGAGCTGGAAAAGAACTTTCTACATATAAAATTAAATTAATGTAAAACAGAGCAAGATAATAATAAAGAGAATATATACTTATAAAATTCAAAGCAGCTTTTATCACCCCCGTGTATTTTTTTATTTAATAAAAGAAATAACGATTATATACAAATTTGTAAAGAGAAACTATTAAACCGAAAACTACAGGAACTTTATTAATACAGAAATAATTTGAAAGTTCCTGAAGCAGGAGACTTTGGAGTTAAAATCTGAATCGATAATAAAATCTCAACTTTATAAAAATAAAAACATCGTCCGTTGTAAAAAATTACGCAAAAAAGCTGCCACAGGATTACACTTGTACGTTTTAAGGCATGTTATTTAAAATATTTTGTAACGTAATCAATACGCTGGCAGCGGTTCCCCTCTTCTTCAAAATTCGGACCTGTATTGAGTTTGTTGAAGTTATCCAAAATGTAAAAAATTGAATTTTATATTATTTATTGAATACAGATTTGAAACTATGCTGGTTGTTTACAACAATGAAAGAGTTTAATATTTAAATGTTAAAGTTCCTTGCAGTAAATTTAAAACTAAATTTAGAACGAACACTAGTGAAACAAAAAAAAACTGGAATGTTAAGACGGTGGTTTAAAACTTAGCTTGAAATAATAAAATCGTTTTTTTTTCATTGCAATTAAAACAGAAACGCATATTTGGTGATTCAAAGTAGTGCAATATTCTTTATCGCAATACTGAGTCGAGTTGGATAGTGATATACTGGTATGTGATAAAGAAACATTCCACTGAAATAAGTACAATTATTGTAATCTACTAACGTTTATTCATGACGAGACGCAATTAAATGAAAATCAAATATTTTTTAATAAAATCACCATTCCTTCTCTCCAACACCATCAAAAACCAAAACCCACCCCGTTCAGTCCGCGGTCCGCTTACCTTATTCAGCAGCACGAAATACAGCGGCGCCTTCCCTTGATGGCTCAAAGGCGTGCTCCTGCTGTTCTCCTGCCTTATCACCTCAACCAGCCCAGTCACAATATCCAAAATATCACCCATTGTACACGTCTGTATATACCTCTTAAAAAACGGATGGAACTTCGGCAAGATATGATCTCCCGTCGTGTCCCTCCGCCCCACGATCGGTATACTCAACAAAATCCTCGTCCAAACATCCAACAACTGCCCCACGAAGTTCTCCGACGCCAGGTGCGGTAAAAGCCTCAGCAACAACATCTTGCCTTTCCTTATATTCAAAAAACTAGAAAACTTATCTTCGTGTAACAACGCATTAACAATTTTCACGATGTAGTCGAGCGGGTTCTCGACGATCGGCTCGCTGTCTTGCTTTAGCAGCTTCAACACCTCCTGCTTCTGCTCGGGCGTCGGCGCCAGATCCAGCTCCCTGAGACGCTGCTTCTGCTTGATCTCGCGGAGCTTGTCCATGTTGCTTATGGCGAGGGGATTGCGTAAGTCCTCCGCCTTAAGGAGGAGCGAGAAAAGGGCTTCGAGTTCCAGAAGGAGCTGTTTGGTTTTCCGGGTGTCGCGGACCACCACGGGGCTGTCCGCGTCCTTGTCGGGGGTGACGATGTCCATGTCGATGATCTTACGAGGGGCGGTCACTGAGCCGCACTGAAACATGACACTTGTATGTAAGGGTCGGGTCATTACAGGCAACATGAATTTTGTTCAATTAATAAATTAATGATATAGAAGTACAAAATTTATGAAAGGCTTCAGAAAGTTCAAAATGTTATGTAGATAATTCAGGCGTCCCACAAGGTTTGGTGCTTGGTCTTCTGTTATTCAATATTTTTATTAATGATCTGTATTATTAAATATTCTAATAATACTAGGTGTCTCATTTTATCTGCCCCACTATACTTTTTTAGTTATTAGTTCCTGAAAAGATGGTAATTATAAACTTAAAACTATTAATTAACACAACGAAATCTATAAAGTGAATATGGTATCCGCATTATATCGTCCTGGATTTTTTCGGAAATTAACTTTTTTATTTCACATTAAAGGGGTATGTTTTTAAGTGTTGCAATTTTTGTTATTAGTAACTTAAATTTAAAATTAGTTCAGCAAATATCTACGAAAATCTCTACAGATTACTTCAAAGTATTATAAAATACTGAGTGTTCTAGTTTCAACATATAAGAAAATTCATATTATGTAGTTTACAAATTTAATTATCCTGTACAATAGTTTAAAATACTCCTCAATGTTTCACAAGTTTGACAAGACAAGATAATTACAAGATTTTGTGAAAAACTCCGCATCTGCATCTTTAAATATTAAGTAGTTCATAATTTTTAAAAACGACCATTTTTTTTTTATAGAAAAAAACAACCGTTTTCGTTTCTCAAAAAAACTTGTGTACGTGGGACCACTTTTCAACTTTTGTAATAAAGTATCTAATTTTATACAAAAATTTACGACTATACTATTTTAAACATGTTTTCAGTTTTTGTTGGGAGAAGAAGACTACCTATAATAAAAAAAAGGCAAAACATAAGCCCCGCCCCTCCACCCTCATCTCAATTCTGATGAATTTTTCATTCCTTGTCAGACCAAGGGGCGGAGCGTAATTGCAAAATCCATACTTGCTTACAAAAATTTACCAATTTAATAAGGTTTTAAGTCTTTGGTTGTGAAAAGAAGACTACGTACAGTAAGAAAAAAAAAATGTAAGCCCCTCCCACCCGCCCTATCTCAACTGTGATGATTTTTTTATGGATGGGCGGGGCTTACATTTTGTCTTTTTCTTAAGTATACGTAATTCTCTTTTCATAACAAGAACCTGAAAACAGTTCAAAATGGTAAAATTTTGCAGGGAAATACAGATTTTGCAATTAATCTCCGCCCCCTGGCTCACGACGAATAAAAAAATCATCACAATTGAGGTGGGGTGGGTGGGCGGGGCTTATCTCTTGTTTTTTTCCTTCTTTCGTAATATTGATAATCTTCTTTCCACAACAAGAAACTTAAAATATGGTCGAAAGGGTAAATGTTCGTAGAGAAATATAATATTAAAAAAAAGGCAAAATATAAGCCCCGCCCTCCGACCCTTATCTCAATTCTGATGAATTTTTCATTCCTTGTCAGACCAAGGGGTGGAACGTGATCGCAAAACCCATATTTGTTTACAAAAATTTACCAATTTGATAAAGTTTTAAGTCTTTGGTTGTGAAAAGAAGACTACGTACAGTAAGAAAAACAAAAATAAATGCAAAGCCCCGCCCAACGGCCTTATCTCAAGTGTGATATTTTTTTTATGCATGGACAGGGTTTATATTTTGCCTTTTTCTTAAATATACGTAATTTTCTTTTCATAATAAAAACCTGAAAACAGTTCAAAATGGTAAAATTTTGTAGGGAAATACGGATTTTGCAATTAATCTCCGCCCCCTGGCTCACGACGAATAAAAAAATCATCACAATTGAGGTGGATTGGGTGGGCGGGGCTTATCCCTTGATTTTTCTTTCTTTCTTAATATCGATAATCTTCTTTCCACAACAAGAAACTTAAAATATGGTCGAAAGGGTAAATGTTCGTAGAGAAATATAATATTAAAAAAAAAGGCAAAATATAAGCCCCGCCCTCCCACTCTTATCTCAATTCTGATGAATTTTTCATTCCTTGTCAGACCAAGGGGTGTAACGTGATTGCAAAACCCATATTTGTTAAAAAAATTACCAATTTGATAATGTTTTAAGTCTTTGTTTGTTAAAAGAAGACTACGTACAGTAAGAAAAACAAAACAAAATGCAAAGCCCCGCCCACCCTCCCTATCTCAACTGTGAGATTTTTTTTATGCATCGGCGGGGTTTATATTTTGCCTTTTTCTTAAATCTACGTAATTTTCTTTTCATCACAAGAACCTGAAAACAAGTTCAAAATGGTAAAATTTTGTAGGGAAATACAGATTTTGCAATTAATCTCCGCCCCCTGGCTCACGACGAATAAAAAAATCATCACAATTGACGTGGGGTGGGTGGGCGGGGCTTATCTCTTGATTTTTCTTTCTTTCTTAATATCGATAATCTTCTTTCCACAACAAGAAACTTAAAATATGGTCGAAACGGTAAATGTTCGTAGAGAAATATAATATTAAACAAAAGGCAAAATATAAAAATATTATCTCAATTCTGATGAATTTTTCATTCCTTGCCAGACCAAGGGGTGGAACGTGATTGCAAAACCCATATTTGTGAAAAAAAATTACCAATTTGATAAAGTTTTAAGTCCTTGGTTGTGAAAAGAAGACTACGTATACTAAGAAAAACAAAACAAAATGCAAAGCCCCGCCCACCCGCCCTATCTCAACTGTGATATTTTTTTTTATGCATGGACAGGGTTTATATTTTGCCTTTTTCTTAAATATACGTAATTTTCTTGTCATAACAAGAACCTGAAAACAGTTCAAAATGGTAAAATTTTGTAGGGAAATACAGATTTTGCAATTAATCTCCGCCCCCTGGCTCACGACGAATAAAAAATCATCACAATTGAGGTTGGGTGGGTGGGCGGAGCTTATCTCTTGATTTTTCTTTCTTTCTTAATATTGATAATCTTCTTTCCACAAGAAACTTGAAATATGGTCGAAAGGGTAAATGTTCGTAGAGAAATATAATATTAAAAAAAGGCAAAATATAAGCCCCGCCCTCCCACCCTTATCTCATATCTGATTAATTTTTCATTCCTTGTCAGACCAAGGGGCGGAACGTAATTGCAAAACCCATATTTGTTAACAAAAATTTACCAATTTGATAAAGTTTTAAGTCTTTGGTTGTGAAAAGAAGACTACGTATAGTAAGAAAAACAAAACAAAATGCAAAGCCCCGCCCATCCGCCCTATCTCAACTGTGATATTTTTTTATGCATGGACGGGGTTTATATTTTGCCTTTTTCTTAAGTATACGTAATTTTCTTTTCATAACAAGAACCAGAAAACAAGTGCAAAATGGTAAAATTTTGTAGGAAAATACGGATTTTGCAATTCAGCTCCGCCCCCTGGCTCACGACGAATAAAAAATCATCACAATTGAGGCGGAGTGGGTGGGTGGGGCTTATCTCTTGACTTTTCTTTCTTTCTTAATACTCGTAATCTTCTTTCCACAACAAGAAACTTAAAACATTGTCAAAATGGTAAATGTTCGTAGATATATTAAAAAGAAGGCAAAATATAAGCTCCGCCCACCCGCCCTCATCTCAACTGTGATGAATTTTTTATGCATGGGCGGGGCTTATATTTTGCCTTTTTCTGAAGTATATAGACATAATTTTATTTTCATAGCAAGAACCTGAAAACAAGTTCAAAATGGTAAAATTTTGTAGGGAAATACGAATTTTGCAATTAAGCTCCGCCCCTTGGCTCACGACGAATAAAAAAAATCATCACAATTGAGGTGGGGTGGGTGGGCGGGGCTTATTTTTTCACTTATTTTTCTTTCTTAGTATTCGTAATCTTCTTTCCACAACAAGAAACTTAAACCATGGTCGAAAGGGTAAATTTTCGTAGAGAAATATATTTAAAAAAGGCAAAATACAAGCTCCACCAGCCCTCATCTCAATTCCGATGAATTTTTCATTCTTTGTCAGACCGAGGGGCGGAGCGTAATTACAAAAACCACATTTGTCTACAAAAATTTACCATTTTGATAAAGTGGTCGTGAAAAGACGATTACATATATTAAGAAAAACAAACCAAATGCAAGCCCCATCCACCCGCCCTGCCTACACTGCGACGATTTTTTTTTATTCATTGTGACCCCCCCTGGGGTGGAGCTTAATTGCAAAATCTTTATTTTTTTTTTACAAGAAATTACCATGCGAAACAAGTTCGAATTGGTTTGTTCAAAGAAAACCGTATGTATAAATAAAAAAGAAAGTCAAAGATTAAGCCCCTCCTATATCCACGCTGACCTAAATTGTGATGAATTTTTTATTCGTTGCCAGACCGATGGGCGGAGCATAATTGCAAAATCCGTATTTCCCTACAAAAATTTATCACTTTAAAAAAAGCTAACTATAAAATATATCGGCTAATGCAACACTATTATATAACTTTCAACCGAAACTCTATCATAGTTTTATCAGGTTCCAACGGAGTTTGAAAATTATCGGTTAAAAATAAAATTTTGAACAACTTCTATTATTTCTAAGATAAAAATTGATCTAAAGCCGTGGTCTAAAGTTATTTGTACAGAACTTCCCCAGAATCGAATAAATACAGCTTCTTCAAAAAACAAAAAAATAATTTTTATTTATTTATTTTTTATGAGAAACCTATAAAATCAAGTTATGCGTGGAGTGTTAAAGTATAGGTAAAGAAACATGCTATACAGTGCCGAAATAATATTCCCGCACCTACCAACGGGAAAAAATATTATCAGTATATCCTTAACTTCGATGTTTTATATTTATACATCGAAAGAATGCTACGATTAAGCACGTAATAAGTTGCCTGAGTTCTATGATTTAGTCTCCTCACAACAGAGGAGGCGACTACAATTATTAAATAAGAAGCTACAACGGAAAAAATGTTGGGAATATTATTTTGGGTAAGTAGCTGTTATTATGATAATTCTTATTTTATTATTATGAAATATGGGCGAGCGCA